GCCCCTGACATCCCATCCCTTCTCTGCCACATGGAAAAAATTGCAAAGGTGACAACATTAACCAAACTTCAAATTGTGGCCACGAAGTCCCAGGAGCCAGGATGTTCCAGATCCAGGCTGCTCCTCTGAAAATCAAGCTCCACCTATTAAAACAAACAAACAAAACAAACAAAAAAAAACCAAACAGCCAAAAGCATTAACTAGGGGTATGTCTACACTGGAAACTTCAAAGCGCTGCTGCAGGAATGCTCCCTCGGCAGTGCTTTGAAGTGGTCGTGCATGAGCGCTAGGAGAGAGCTCTCCCAGCACTCCTGGTAATCCACCTCCATGAGGGGATTAGCTCTGAGCTGGGAGCGTGGCTCCCAGCACTCGCAGCCTGTCTACACTAGCGCTTTAAAGCGCTCAGACTTGCTGCACTCGAGGGGGAGGGGGGGTGATTTTTCACACCCCTGAGCCAGAAAGTTAGAGCACTATAAAATGTAAGTGTAGACAAGCTCTAAGCTTCAGTTCAGTTAATATGCCTCTCTCTGCATTCTCACCTGACCCGCCTCCCTTTCTTGGCATCCAGCTTCCAGAGACATTTCCCCTTGCTGAGAGGCCCACCCTCAGATAAGTATCAGAAAGTGGACTTATTTCACTACTTCCAATAAACACACCCGATCAGACAATGGAACCACCTGCCTTTTGACAATGTTTGCTGGTTCTTACTAGTTCCTTGGAAATATAAATAGACTGAGAAAGAAATTCAGTTGCCTGCCTCCTTGTTACACATCAGGGTGTAACTGCAATCTTTTCTCTGCTTTACCTCTGCCTATCATTGCTAAGCTATTACACAAATAAATTACTTGTCATTCCTTCATACTTCCTGATAATTAATACTGCAGGGAACAAGTGCAGGTAAAGCAGAGTTCTTGGGGATTAACAAGTCCACCGACTACACAGCTTGTGTGTGTCTGATTGGGTTTGGTTCAGCTGGAATCGTTGTCAGGTACATTATTATTCCTTTCAGCTTAAAAGGGAATTGGAGGTCAAGCTATTCATTCCTGGAGAAAATATGACAACTGAGATAGCACTAAAGAATACTCCTTTCGATACATTTACTTAACTGTCTGAGGAAAAGAAAAGATGTTTAAGCAGGTGTTTCTGTGAAACAGTTGAACAGATGTTAGGAAATAAAACCATAGTGCTTCTACCACATTAGCTGTAGCCAAGTATCTCAGTACAGCTGAGCAAGGGCGTTGGAGTAGCAAAAATATTACTAGTATGGAACATAAGCTGCTAGGAAATAAAATATTGTAACACCACCACTTGTTTAACTATTTTTTTGAACCATAAGTTTAGAGTAGCACTTTTATTATATTAAAATGTCCTACAACCCTAAGCCATGCTTTAGACAGCTAATATCTTATTCTCCTGGCACACTGTTCTGGGGTTTAAAATATTCATCCCACTCCATTATGAGCAGAGTTAAGCACATACTTTAGTCCCATTGAATTCACAGGCTTAGATGCTTTGCTGAACTGGGGCCTTATTGGATGTCTGCAATAGAAGTTAAATTCTGGCCCTTTGATGTCAATGACAAAACTCCCTTATTTTTCCCCCACCCTTCCAAGATTTCCTGCTGGTGCTGCTCCATTAGTAAGAGCCTCAATGCAGTAAGGGCTCCAAGGGTCCACTGTGTTCTACTTCTAACCATGTCATCTAACTCTGAGAGACAGTCTACACGTTGCTATGGTTAACTTGCCAGCAACCAGCGCATTGTCTACACTAGTGCCCTCACTAAGGAAGTTGAGCCAGTGGTAGCAATGGTGGGAAACTTGACAAAAAAGCCTAATGTAGACAGACCATAAAACATGGCTTAAACTTGTTTTTTCTGTCCACAGAGGCAAGAGAAAACATCTTATGTGGCTTAGTCACAATTATGTTTAAAAATTATCATTTTTGTAGCATAGACAGGGCCCACCTACAAAAGCATATTAATAGTAAATCTATAGCAAGATTGCTGGTGAAAGTAGCATTTAATTTTACAAGTATCTTAATATATTATATTTTAACTCATACAACAACAGGCCTTAGGTCCTGTCCGCTCTACAGTTAATTTTGCTCAGCCGTGTTTTGAGATTAGTAGCAGTTGCCCTAAGCAGTGAGGAAAAGGGATCTGCCACCCCCCAGAGCTCTGCTAGCCAAACTATGATAACAGGCTACTTTTTATTTTGTCTATACTAAGAAAATTACCTGTTGCTGACAATGGATGTCAAAGTACACAGCTGAACGTAGTTTAACTGCCAGAGTAGCCAAGTACAAAAGTTCACTATTGTTTCTGACGCTGTAGTTAAAATTTGTGCAGCTTATTAAACATCTTTGTTTTCTTTCTAGGAACATCTAGAAAACCAAGTTGATGCACCAGATTTTATTCTATCCTTCAAACAGGATCACAGTGCACAGACTAAGCAAATCCGTTCCTGCCTCTGGAATCTGGCTTACAATCAGTTAAAACCCCAAGAATGGAAAAAGCTGGCCCTGTTCTGGAAGTTTACAGAGGAGCAAATTAAAGCTATTGAAGAACAGTGGACAGGTAATGAAATACATTGATCAAGTACAGTAGTATATAAATAGCTTAGGTGAAGACATGGCTACTGGGAGTTATAGTCAACTCCGACCTGGATTTTGACATGGGTTCATAGCTACACATGATTTCCTTGGTCAAATAGGGACATTTCACTCAAATCAAATTCATTATATTTTATCTGATTTTTTTAAATTAACTTTAATTGTGAATTAAATAAATTTCATGTTAACACATTCTGTGAGACCTCACTCATGCACCTGCTTCAGAATCCTCAGGGAATGTTGGCAATATCTCCATATTTATAGGAAAGAACCATATCGTGTTGACAGTTCACAATTTTGGCAGCACATACACCATGGTGTACTAGCAAAGAATGCAGTATTTCCATACATTAAAACAAGTTAAAGAAATAAATTTATTTTAAGAACCATTAACCTTGATTTTTCCATTTGCTTTAGAGTGAAAACTAGTCTTTCACCTTTGGAAGTCTTAGTTTCCATCTTGCTTATAGGTCAGAAAGGAAATGAGTGCATGAGTAGAGTTGGAGGAATGCTGTACAACCTGGGAGCTTTTACAAAAGCAGCTGGGACATCAGGGTATTTTACTCCAAGCATATGACACAGACATGTATGTTGTATATTGCATAGGAAAAAAAAGCTATAAAGAACATGGACACCGAATGTTGCTCATCTGGTTACATGGTATATTGCTGGCTCACCAGAATCCAGTCAAACATATATATGAAGATCTGGTGCATGTAGGATTTCAACAAGTAGCTGGTAAGCTATTGTTTAATATGCAAGACAAAGCTATGTGGGGGAGATGCTCCATAAGTGCAGTCCTGTAAAAGAACAAGGCTCCTTGTAGATCTGTAGTTATGGGGATTTTTGGCTTGACTGGGCAGAAGAAGCCATTAAAATTACTTTGGGCTTTGGAGGTGGGGGGGATGGACAGACTTATTTTACAAACACACCCAGTTCCAATTGTAGTGGCATGCCTGACCTGGGCAAAACTGTCTAACTGTAGATATGGGAAGGAGCAATGCCTGTCTAGTAAGAGCATTTTTCCTTCTTTCTTTACAGAGAAAATCAGAGCTGAAACGAGCACTGAGATGGATTCGAGGAAATGTGCAGTTTCATGAACTTTTTAACAGAAGCTGTCATAGGCTATGGACTATGTTCCAGATGGAAAGTCATTTGTAAATACTCTTTCCAGAAAAGATCTTACAATAGAACCTCAGAGTTACAAACACAAACAACCTCCATTCCCAAGGTAACTCTGAAATGTTTGCAATTCTGAACAAAACATTCTGGTTCTTTCAAAAGTTTACAATTAAACATTGATTTAATAGAGCTTTGAAACTTTACCGTGCAGAAGAAAAATACTGCTTTCCCTTTATTTTTTAGTAGTTTACACATTTAACATAGTACTGTACTTGCTTTTTTTCCCTCCAGTCTCTGTTCCTGCCTGGTTCCAAATGAGGTGTGTGGTTGAGTGGTCAGTTCATAACTCTGAGGTTCTACTGTATTTGCAAAATGTAGCTCACCACCTATGAAGTTTTTCAAAGCTCTATTTACAGGTTATGAGTGCTACAACACAAACTTCTATACCTGAGTTATTAATTTGGTTAGTTCTATACTCTGCCTTTTTCTGACATTTCACCTTTGAGAGAAATTACACTGCCATAAAAAATTAAATTAAAATTAACGTTCATGTAATTGTAGTGGTCATTCTCAGTAATGTGTGACTATCCTGCCAAATGAGAGAACATGCTACAATGTTTTTGTATGTGACTTACACTAATTCCATATTGGAACTGCACTTAAACAAAATTTGTGCTTGATACTGAATGTAGTTCCTGTCAGCTAGAAAGCAAATCACTTGTATTTCATAAGTGAGGATTATGTGGATAAATAATCAACACCTTTACTTAATTAATGGAGAGATATCCTATCTCCTAGAACTGGAAGGGACCTTGAAAGATCATTGAGTCCAGCCCCCTGCCTTCACTAGCAGGACCAAGTACTGATTTTGTCTCAGATCCCCAAGTGGCCCCTTCAAGGATTGAACTCACGAGCCTGGGTTTAGCAGGCCAATGCTCAAACCACTGAGCTATCCCTCCCCAGAAATAGGCCAGTATCCAGCCTAATTTGAGATTTAGCTCATTTTAAAGTAAATTGCAACGTCTTAAAAATGGAAAGAACCCCAATACTGATTATGGAAACAGCTAGGAGGCTGCTATGTTGAATAATTTTTTTCCTTGTAAGATCTTGGATCTCTGTTTGCTAAAGTTACCTTCATACTCTTTCCCTAGCATTAATTCATCCACCTAATTTCAAATGTTACAGTACTACAAAGAATCTTAAGTCTTTCATTAAGAGACTGAATCTACTTGTAATTAACATTTTATATAAAAGACCCTGGACAAACATCTATTTTGATCCTTTATTAAAAACCGTATTCAACAGCTTCCTTAAATAAAGTATACATGTAATAAAATAGGTTCTCTCAAATAGACATAGCTTGCACTTAGAGAACTACATTGTAAAGTCAAATTGCTATTTATCCCCCCCCTCACAACATTTGAGTAGGTCTACAATTTGATTTTTAGAAGGTAAAAACATGATGTATCCTTGAGCCTTGCTACATCAGTCTGGAAACATTGGGAAGAGCTTTACTCTGCAACTTGGTAAAACTCTCTACCTGGAAGGAAAAATTCAAGCATTTCAAAATATTCCTTAGTCCACAACTTTTATTGACTGAACGTTAGTATGAGACTGGCTATGAGGTGTTCGTCCACCGTGTCCAGGAGGTCTCAAACTGGTGGCACTAGAAGCATGGTGCACTGTTCGAGGGTATTTAGCAGCAGTGGCTTGGGATATAGTTTGCTGAAAAATAAAACAAGATAAGTCTATGAACATTTAAAAAAAATACTCCTAGAAACTGAATTCCCTATTAAGTTAGCTGGAATGCAGTGAACCTGAACCTAAAACGGAGAAGAAACAACAAGTGACAGATAGAGAGTAATACGGGTCACTGACCTCACTTTCTCTTAGCTCTTGGCCATTCATCACCATCTATGCTTTAACTCTTTTCAAAATGAAAAAAGTTCTCTTATTTGTGTAGATGGGAGCTTTTAATCAACAGTGCTAAGCTTCTGTAATTAGCTTAGTCAAAAGATCAGCCTGTTTACTTCAAGACCCTTGGTTAAGTTATTCTGTTGTGGTCCTATTTAGTTACAGCAACATTCCTTTAAAGTTAGGATAGTTTCTGAATAAATCAAGATGGCTTCCTCCTAAGGAAATACTGAGATGTCAGTTACGCGTAGGTAAGAAGACAATTGCATTTCCATCACAGGAGTTTTCTTACAAGGCTTAAGGCTGTTTTGCTACCAGGCAGATGGCCTCCCTGTTGCAGTAACTATGGTCATTCTCTTTTTAATCACACTAATGACTCTCCAGCCAGAATCTTTCCATTGCCAAAGATTAATTCAATCAGCAAAGCACTTCACTACAGCTGATGCTGCGTTATGTATTTATTGCCAAATGTACATGACAAGTGGTAAGGTATACGGGACAGAGGCCTGAAACATCCCCTGGTTCAGAGAGCTTCTAGGGGGGCTAGTTGTTTCCTTTTCTAGTTTGAGACTGAACAGAGGGTGCACATGCCTTCCAAATTTGCTCTCTTCCCCTGCCTCTTTTAAAATTCCTTTTCCAAGCTCCAGCCAGCTCATATTTAACACATCTACAAATATTAGTCTAATAGTTCAAGTGTCTGTCATACACTCTGCATCCAGTCCTTGCCTTCAGAAAAATAAAGCTAACAGCACACCTCTGGAGTCCCAGGGCATAGACCACCACTGCTTAACAACTTGTATCTTTCCCAAAAGCCCATGGAAAAGAGGTCTTGCCACATGCTAGAAGGTTAAATCCAGGCTCTGGAAAACCAATGCAGAGTTGAGGAAGTGTTTTGTTGGCAACCCCAGCTGCTTATATCAAGGAAGCTCAAGTACATCACCCCAGGAGGCAGGTGATCTTTCATGTAACCAGACCCAAACCACTTAGGACTTCACAGGTTAAAGCTAACATCTTCAGCCAGATTTCTCCTTCATATACACCCAAGTGATCAAAGGCTCTTGCTCTGATGGTGGTCAGCCTATTACGCTGTACAAATGACTTCGATTGATCTTTTTATGCTAATAAAGCCACTGCGCAAAACCCTTTTTCCTTGGTGTATATTGGCTATCCAATATTCTATTACTATAGTCATTCAATTCACCATCACTGCAACATACTGCATAGGAAAGGGATGTGTGCGTGGTGGGGAAGGGGGTAGTAAGAATCAAGTACAGCAAAAAGCAGGGGGGCTTTGTTGCCATCCACACAGTTGTTTGGTTAGGAGCATGACATTAAAAAAAGTGATACATGTTTTAAGCTTGTCAGTCCATCCTGTCACTACTGCTTTTGGCCCAGCCACATTTCTCACTCATTAAATCAAGTTCATACACAAGTTCTAGCTCCACAATGACTGAGGAAGCATTGCTTCCAAAAAGCTATTTAACCTCAGTTGTGCAGAGGACACTGGCAGCAGTAGATGTACAATGAACCAACAAAAGCTTCAAAACCTATCAGAACTATTATTACAATCGGAAGGGGCAAATAGGGGTAGAGTTTAAGTGGGATTATTCATTTCCATTATTCATCATTTTGACGTGAATCTTTGTTGCTAGAACACACACCCAACAGAAAAAAAAATGCTTAATTTACTCTAATAGCGCTCACACGTACCTGTTAAAACAGAAAGATAAAAGCTCATCAGGGAGGGGTCTCAAACTACTAGTAGACATGGTGTAACAAGACAGTTATTACCCTAATATCAGTTGCACTTACTTGAGTGACTGGATGATGCTTTTCTACAATGACTGAACTCATGGGTGGTGAGACTCCCATTACAGCTAAACTACTACAAATTCTGTTCTTTTGTCCCAAATCAGATCGGCCTGTGATTCGAGCAGTGATTGTTCTTCCTGCCTTCTGCTGAGCAGATGTCACTACTCTTGCCATAGGCTACAAATAAACAAGACACATTAGTAGAGATGCCTACACACAGTATGTACAATGCAACCAGGCAACTGCTTTGCTTTATTAGCTACATATATGAATAGAACTTACGGGTACTGTAGGTAAACTAGAGTCCATAATGGTATAGAACAGATTCCATACAGTGGGCACAATTAAACATTGGGTATTTATTACCTGCAGTTACATTTACCATGGTATTTCCCATTCTAAATAAAGGCAATACTACATTTATCATGATAATAGTAAGTACTGTGATGTGGTTAATGAATATTGTGCTGAAGCACAGCAAACCTCAATCATGAAAGGGCCCTCTGTCAGCTATTTTGACAAATCTAGCAGTGTGGAACAATTGTAGCTTTGCTTTCTGGCTGCAAACTAGTGACAGCTATAGGCACCCACATCAGCCCAGCAGGGTCCTTGAATCAATAATATACCAGGCACAAAAAAGGTTACACATAATGAAACTGAGGCACTGCAATTTTTCAATCTTCCATCCTTCCCCAGAGAAGTACTGACAGCAAACTGCCAGATAGGTATGAGCTTAGCAAAAAAGAAGATGGAGGAGGAAGAGAAACAAAAAGGAGCAGGTTATATGGAAGAGCAGAGGAGGGAACGAGGAACAGATTTCAACTAGTAAGCAAAAAGCGAGGCAGATTTGTTTAAAAAAACCCAACCCAACCTTTCAGCTGTTGAAATGTTAATTGCTTATGAAGTGCTGTATACAATTTTGCACAAACTTCTCCTCTCATATCATCCCCATTTTATTTCCTAACACCACACATTCCTTTTCCTAAAAGCCTTCCCCATTTTTAACTTCATTTAATATACAACAAATAATCCATTTAAAATGAACTGATGCATTTTCAAGTTTCTCTCCAGGCCTTTACTTAAACTCTTGGACAAACGCCTCTACTTCATACTTCTGTATGTTACCCCAAATTCTCACAGTAAGAAAGGATCCAAGACAGACTAACACCTACAATGACTTCAAATATTAAATCAATTAATTCTAGTTTGTTACCAGTTTTTGAGCTGATGTAATGCCAGATCCTACAGCTGCACTAGCGACTATTACTGGAGAATTTGATTCTAATCTGGTCTGAGAAGTACTTGCGTGGCCCAGATGGGATGAAAACTGTAAATAAATCAAAGGGTTTTATAGAGGAATGAGAACTGTAGTTTGGATCATACTTAATTCTTTACTGAAAATGCAGTTTTATTATTTGAGTAGTCTGACACTTCAATTAGCTGCTGAATTTTATTCTGTACAGATTCTATACTCAAAGCTAAATCGAGTCAGTCAACTTAAAAACCACCGCGTTGTCAGAAACTTAAAAACCACCGCGTTTGGTACCTATAGAGATCTGAGTAATATCCAAGATTCTGTAACAAAGATCAGAAGGAAAAAATGTTGACATTTTTTCAGTTTGGTTATTTTGTGTGTAGTCCATTTCACTGTTTCCCCTGCTTGGGCGGGTCTTTAATAAAATGGAAATATTTAATTGTAAACATCACAAATTCTCAGTGGGATCTAAGGACAGATGTAGTACCTGAAACTATTTTTAACTCAGGTTTTGAAAGTGACTAGATTCGAAGTTGGCACTGTCCCTTGTAAATAATACATTTCTGATAATTGGCCTTTCCGTTAATGTAAAATTCTATTTTCTCAAACTAAATCAAGTTCAGATATTTTTTCCAAACAAGTCTCAGCAGCTGTTTTCCACAAAGATACCTTGAAAAGCAGATTCTGCTTAAGATTGTGACCTTTTGTCCTAAGTAAGTAGCTTGCAAATTTTCTACTTACAAAATTAGAATTTTCTGGGAAGAAAAAAAACCCCACAACATAGCAACCATAACCCAACAACTATGTGCATATAATGTTTTATACTATAGTACATGCTGCTATATCTAAGTATTTATGTCTCCAAAGTAATCGAGTTCTGACGTTTTAAAAAGAAGCTATTTGTAAATTATCCAAGTGCAAAAACATTACTGAAGGTTCTCTCAATTCATGAGTTATTCAGTTTGTTCAATGAAAAAAACCTGCTGCCTAAATAGCTTAATGAATGAACTTTTTCTAATACCACATTTTTTAATTCTATTCCTGCTATAATACTTACAATTTCCTCTTGTGGAACAGTGGCTGCTGTTGGAGGTGGTGGTGACGGAGGATCAAATTGGGAAGGAGGGAGCCTTCCAGTGGCATTAGTTCCAGGATCTTCTCTCCTATTTACTGCATCTGTTATTAGAAACACAGATTAAAACAATCAGCACAGAACCTGGTAAACCCAATGAACACTAGCAAGCCTTAAGGAGAGAAGATGAGTCACAGTAAAATCTTTCTGTTCCTTTGGGATTTGTATATAATCTTATTAAAAAGGATCAGACTATTACATAGGGTTTTATTTAGCTCTCCTGTATCTGAATCCCTCTCTCAGAAGCTTGCAAATACCATAGGCTAGATCCTCTGTTACACCCCAACCTCTTGGTGCTGGTCAGGTGATGCAAATAGGTAGGATTCTGGACATAACTTGCCAATGGAGAATTCCCTAGGCAGAGGGGCTCCTATATTAGGTATCCCACCCCAACCTTGGTGTAGGGAGCATGGCAATGAAAGGAGGTGGCATGTTGGAGCCCTGCTGCACTGGTGTAAGATCACTTAGGGATACTGCATCAGTAGGGTAAGTAACTAACTCACATGAGAGAGGTCAGGGAGAACGGAGTCCAGTACCTTTTCCAAACAGGTTTTGTTCTTTTCTTTCAGAACACACAGTTTCTTTAATACAGCAAGCAGGAATATGTTTTTTATTTATTGACTTCCTTACCCTCTCTAACAGCAGATTCACAAAGCTGAAACTCTCACTATTGGTAGTGCTAAGATAGAGATTTTGATCATTCCATAGACTACAGTGACTCCATGTGGCAGTTAAATTTCCATCACGCCAAGTTTTGAAACAACCTAACATTACTACTTTAATCTTCTGCTTATGTATTCATTTCATAATATTTGCTTTTATGATGTGTTAGTTTAAATATATATTTTTCTAGGAAAAACAAGTCAATAAGCAGGACATTTCCATTAATACAATAATCACTACTGATGTCAGAAGAAGGAATGAAAATATGCAAGGATTACTTTTTGCTTTTAGTTTAAGATATGAAAGGGCCAATGTATGACCAAAGGACGAGTGTATACTAGTTACAAAAATAATCTAAGTGTTTTTTGTAATGACATGCATGAATTCAGATGCTTTGGTTTCTGAGAAAGTATAAAACTTGGATGATTCTTAGACTTATCTCCAACAGACCTGAGTGCCATACATCCATGGCAAGGGGAAGAGAAGGAGTTTAAATTAAACATTTTAAAAGTCATTTCCACAGCTGATACTTGTCTTCAAACGGGAGTTGTGCATAAATAACTGATCACTGATTTTTGGCTTACCGTCTTTGAAGCTTTCAAATTCATAGATTATAAAGCCAGAAGGGACACTGTTATCATCTAGTCTGCCCTCCTAAAGGAGTATGGTGATCCCTAATGCTATTCTGCCACTCCCTGCTTCACTATAGAACCTTCTCCAGCCCTTTCCTGCTTGGCCTCCTGCTATAGCTTTAGAGAAATTCTCTCTTTCTATCTCACAGGTATGTAAATTTGTAAATACCCTCTCACTAATGACTCGAAGACCCACTGAACTACAAAATTTTGTAAAACAAGAAGTAAACAAACAAATGTTAATGCATCACAGAAGTTTAGATTCGTCATTTGTGACAATTAATTTGGTTTTAATCATGAGAATAGTAAATAAAGAGTACATTCAAGTGTAAGAGCATGAAGCATTAATGCTGGGAAGTGAGAGCAAGTAATTTTTTTCTTTCCTTTTGGGGAATTGTGGATTAGAGATGCCCTACTATTATCTCAGATATTTAAAAGAATGTGAAGTAGTTTAAGGGTCCAAATTCTAAACCTAGGGCTTGTCTACACAACTGTCACTGACTGATCCCTGTAGATTCTGCTGGTGCACAGCAAAGGTTTCCCAGTGCACTTTAACTTAGTACTAAAATAATAATAATAATAATAAATGCTGCTACATTAAAAACAAACACTAAGACCCTGCTGGTGTGCACTAAAAGTTCATTAATGCGTTTTAATGTAGTAGCATTTTCTTTAGTACTACATTAAAGCCCACTAAGGAACTTTTAGTGTGCACCAGCAAGGTCTACACAGACCAATTAGTGGACAACACGTTAGTGCACTTTAAAAATTACTCCCTCCCTCCTCCCCCCCCCCCCCCAAAAGTGCACATTGCTTTACCTTGTAGGCAAGCCCTTATTTTAGCAGGGAATGTTCTCTAGCTTCACATATTTAGGTTTTTTGTTTTTTAATTAAATCCACTACTCTGTTGCTAACTAATTAATACACACAGTTTGAGCATGAATAGCCCCAACATTTTCTTGGTTCTGTTGCCGCAGAAGCAGCAGTCCACGTTGGGATCCCAAGTTAAACCCTATTACAAGAATTCTGTTTACAACTGTGAAGGTAATGAAGACAGTCAGTGGTGGAAAGGCGATACTCCAATAGGTACAAAAATTGCTTGCTGAATAGAAGGAGAAGAGAAGTGTTATAGTCAAGTAAGTGTTCAAGAGATTGTTCCAGAACAGTAGAAAGGGACTAAGATAAAAGTTGAAGTACCTAGCACGGCCCTTAAACTTATTCTCAGTTCCGCAATTGCAAAAAAACAACTTTGTTAAAATATAACCCAGCTAAGAAGATTTTAAAAAGACTTAAATGTCTGCGGTTCCAATTAGTACTCATTCGGAGTAATCAGTTACTTAGATTTTTTTTTCTTTGTTTTTAAAGCACAGTTTAACAGAAGTATAGACTATTTTTGTACCAATACAGAGCATTCATGTTGACCACCCACTATACGGTAATCTCTAATTAGTTCCCTGAGATTCTGAAAACCTAGTATAGTGGGTATTACTATGCACTACATACACCTAAGATCAGGTGGTATATGAGGCAGAAATCATATTCTACCACCCTGCTCTTTGCTTTTTTCTTCTTTTCCTAATTTATTGCATCACATCTCCATTTAGACTACTGTATAAACTGTTTGGTGCATGGACTAGGTCTTTGCTAATTTCTACGATGGTACCTAGCACACTTTTGGATGCTCAAAAATAAAAATTAATAATTATTAGCTTCTATAAGTGACACTACGTGTCTAAGACTTTAGCACCCTGAAGCACAAATGAGTAAGATTAGAAGGGGGGGAAAGAGCTGGCTGGAGAGCATATATCCCCCACATGATCACTACAGACTTGCTGTCTTTTCAAAGCCTGCAATATTTTGCTGAAGAATCAGCCAGCCACAGGGGTATTTGTTACTTACACTTCTCCAGTAGACCGCTTATTTACATATTCAGTGCATTTTTTAAGCATATAACAAAGCTGATCCCATGACAAGTTTGGTGTTGTCATACTCCTATTTAAATCCCCAAATTAAAAATAAAGAGTAAACTAATCCGAATGGCACTGCGAGCAAGGCCATGCAGTGATATATTTTTACTTTACTTTTAATACTAACCATGGTCTGTCCTACTTTCTTTGCCCTGAAACATGGTCATTGCTTCTAGATTCAGTGCACACACACCACGCATAAAGGCTTTTTTCATGGTGCCTTCATACTGTTCCCTTTCACTATGCAGTCTCAGGATATCAGCTTTTGCCTCTTCCAGAGCAACATTTAACTACAGTAAAGAGATAAAAAACAAAGAATTATTTTGATACACCTGTGAATACACAAAACCACTATATTATTCATTCAGCTTTAAAAAGCCACTTTACTAATTTCTCAGTGTAATATTTTCCCTCCATGTCCTCATTGTTTTAGAAATAAGATTAAATATAGATCTTTTAAACACAATTCTTTGGATACCTCAGACTAGAGTGCGTACATGGCAAGGATGGAAACCACAGGTGCTACCATACCCAAACAGACTAACAGTCTGTGCCGTCCAGTATTCTGTCCCAACCAGGATTAAAACCAGGAACTTCCAGGTCAAATCCTTGTAATCATTTAACTGTGCTATACAATATTGTGGTGTGGTAGGGGGAAAACACAGCAAACATTTCTTCCTGACCCTACCTAGAGATCAGTCTAACTGTATCTTATAATTTTATCTTTGCTCCTGTAATGTAACTTCACCTGTTATTCTTGTTAGCATGAAAGGCCATACTTCCATGAACTTCCTTAACTGCATCCACAAATACATCTATCATTTTTACAAATGGTTGTAACTTAATCTATCCTTAACCAACAAACACGAGGTCTGTGTTGGTTAAGGACAGATTAAGTTATACATTCACAAAGCAAGGGATTCTGATATTTTCCCTTAAATTACATTTTCAAAATTAACTGTGTTTTCGGGCAGGATTTTCAAAAGCATTTAAGTGTCTTAGGAGCACAAGTCCTCTGACTGTGCTTTTAATTCCTTTAAATTGTAACAAACTTGAAAAGTAATATCACAGTGGTCTGATGTGTGATGGCTACCTTAGCTTAAATTTTCACACGTCTTCATTAGGATGAAGTTGAGAGTTGTAGGGAAAATATCAACTTTTAACAGAAAAGCAGTTATTATACAAAGATTTCAGTTTATACAATATGATAGACCTGCTCATTCACAATCATAATCTTGCATTTCTATAGGACCTTCCATGAGAGGCTCCGAAAGACTTTACAAACATTAATGAATTAAGACTTACAAGTAGCACTGTTAAGTAGTTATGTGTCATCCCCTTTTTGCGGGCAGACAAAAGGAGCCAACAGATAAGTTAAGTGAATCATCTAATTTCAAACATAGGTTCTTATTTTCCTCTCTGGCATAAAAGTGTTGAGTAACTTCACTTATATTGGTATACAACTAGCTTAAGTGACAGGTGACTCAGGCCTAGAAAGTTGGAATCTATAGCAGAGCTACCTACATAACCCAGATCTCCTGATTCCCAATCCTGCAATTGGGAAAGGTTTCCTGGCACTCTGAAGAAAAGCAATGCATTTATTTAAAAGTTTTTGTTTAGTAAGAGGCACTTAAAAAAAAAAACCTTACCTCTGCAATTTTAGCTTCATAATCCTTGGAAAGCTGAACACAGACTTCCTCAGCCCTTAACTGACAGGCTTTTGCTACTTTCTCTTTCCATCTTGCTTCACTAAGAGACCGCCAAGCTGCCCAAACCCTCTTCATCAAAGCTATCTGGAACTGTCTGTCCGCCAGTCTATTTGCATATGCCTTAAATAGTAAAATATTACCAAATTATATGTTTCCTATTTCTTTAATGAGCACTATGATCATTAAAGAGAATACAGTCAATTGTTTTGTAATATTAAATGGATTACAACATAACACATATGAAATATTGTAGTTTATACTTTCTGTTTAAATATACTTTAGCTGACACACCACCACACATACTGCTGCCACTTTAGAAGTTCAAGGTACTTGTATGGAGTTATTGCAGGAACCGCATAGCATCTGCAGACACAATGGTAGCTGGAGAGTCACATATACCAGATATCATTTTTAAAATCGAGTTTTTATTTATTTTATTTTATATAAATAAAATTCATAACACACACAGCACCCTTTGAATGCTTAAAAGATTTGTACCTTTTTAAAAAAAATCAAATTATATTTTCGAGTATCCGACACTCAAAATATTTTCTAAAATGGTAACAGTAGATCCACTTATCCAGTTCATCAGTGAAATTAAAACAAAAGGAACAAGCTGAAGAAGGGCTGAGTAGCCAAAAGATGTCCACACCAGCCTCACAGCTACCAGCAAACTCTAGGTGGGAAGGGAGGAGAGAGAAAATGCTCCTCCCTTCCAGCAGCCAGAGGGGTTTTGTGTGATGAGGAGCTTCAGACTTCTCAGACACCTCCAAAACCTTAATGAAAAATGGAGCCCAGAAAGTCCTTACTGACAGCTTGGGGTAAGAGGGGTTTGGGAATTGACCCTGGACAGTGGGGCACTTCATCTTTCACATCAGTAATTGGTTAGTAGGTTTAGTTAGCTGACTATCAGAACTTCCAAGATCTGTGTGAGTGTGGCTGACAGATGTTTTAGGGCTGAGGAAGGAGTGTGGAGACACAAAATATAGGGGAAGGGAGGACAACACCACAGACCTTAATTGCAAAACCAGCACCAAAATGAAATGGTGATAAGTAATGTATTTTTCACATTTCACATAAAAGCAATGGCTTCTGTGACAGGATTTTAGAATGAACACTTTTATTCATTCTGCTGGAGACATTGGGAAGATATCATCCTTACTAATACAGGTGGTAATTGACACTGATCAGCTATCAGCATATCCTTCTAATTAGTGATAAAAAAGAGCATAATTTTGATTCAATTGCCCTACCATAATTATTTCTGTAATGTCCTCTTTTGAATTGATGCTCTTGAACTTATTCAATATTTTGTCACATACATCAAAATAGAAAAGTTGTCATTTCTTTTGATTGTAACAAGAGCTGCAGTAACTCTAACCCTTTTCAGTTCAGAGGCTTATCTACTATCACATCTTCTGTTTTCCACACATACCTCTTGTCTGGCCTCCACGTGCTGAATCCGCCACCGTGTAAATTTTTTCATTAGCTCTATCCTCTCCTTTTGCTTGTCTATCGCATGGGACAAGTTAGTGATTACCTGCCAAAATATTTATTAAACAGAAGGTTTAGACAGATATCTTTGGGGAATGAATGGAAGTTTGCTACCAGGATGGGTTATTTATCATTTTAATGAAATACTTCTAACAAGCTTTTTACTGTGTCTTTTCCTTAAAAGAAGAACAATAATTTAAAGTTCAAATCAGGACTAAAATTAACTCTACTTCATCATTCAATGACATTGCTATACTCAAGGAAGGTTTTACACTGTGTAACTTATCACTGTGTAACTTTCTACTACTTCTGCAAACGTATGTCATGAATGCTACACTGTGGCATCACTGAATGAAGAGGAAGCAAAGACTTAGAAGAATATACAAACTTTTAATTACTCACAAAAACAACACAACCCAGCAAAGCAGAAACAATAATGATTTGTATTATTGAAAGTTTGGCATAGGGATAATATACGTGCCTACCTCACAGAAGAATTATGGAAATTAGTATTAGAAAAGATATACTAAAAGTGTAAATATATGTAGTAACTCAGTGGTTCCCAAAATTTGTACTTAGGTACACACCAACTGCATTTTATCTTCTTTTGTTTTGCAATCCACTCAGGGTCCAAATTCAGGGCCAAACCTCATTAGTGCTGCGACCATATGCACCAGGTCGTAACGCTCAGAGTGGGGAGCCCGGCCAAGTCCCACAGGACAGGAGCTGCCACTGTGGGGTGAGAGTGCAAGGCGGGATTGCTTTCCATGGCCCCAGGCCTCCGCACCAGACCGCATGACCCATCTTGGAATGGTTTAATAATTGGGCTGATAAATTTACCTTAATTGTGAGCTTAATTATAAGATCTGAAAGTTCATATGATGTTACAATAGCCTACAACAACAAATGTTTATTGAAAGCACCCTGACCTACTTTCTATCATGAATATTATAAACAGGTGCAATAGAACCAGACAAAAAACACCCAAGTTAGTCCAAATAAAAAGGCCAAGTTGATATGATTCATGGACTATGCTGAAATCATGCTTGGTTAAAAACAAAAGATGTGGAACTGGAAAGTAATGAACCAAAATTGGGGTGTCAAATATTACGCCTAAGTGGTGGACAAAATAATGAGGGAATGGGCTATTCCATCCCTCACTCCCTTTTCGGATCCTTAAAGGAAAGAGTTGGAGGAAAAATGGAAGAACAGATAGATAGAGGCTACTTAAGCAAGCTTCACCATCATGGCTGCTACCCCGCACCATCTCCTCAGACCATGGGTCTTCATCATCCTAGTCTTGAGGGATGTCCTAACCAGAACAAGTCAGAGAGAGAGAGAGAGAGAGATCCAAATGACATTGCTACCTCTACAAGCTCCATCTTAATCCCAACCACCACTTGAGATGAAAGGCGATCAGACTTTAACAGCAACAGCTCCAGCCCATCTCAACTAACTTCTTCTCTTTTCCCCAAAAGGACCATTGTTACCATCTTTGATACCATTTAAGAGACAGTCAAACAAAGGGGATTTTCCTTCTAAAACTCTCTCCAGCTAAAGGGAAAGGGAACAACAACAACTGTTAATTGAAAGCCTCACTTAATACTTCACATTTCAAAAGCTTTAATTGTTTTTCCTTCTTTTCTGTATCTATAATAAAGATTAAGAGGTACTGAGCAAGTAGAGGTCTCTATATACCAAAACCCAGACCTTGTTAACACTATTTAATGCTGGACAGTAACTTATGTTAACACCTTTGGCCCATTTATTTCATCTAAATAATACAGCAGTACCCACCACTTGGGAAACACTGTGCTATTAATAATTTGCTACATAAGTACCACTTTGGAGGAGAGGATTAGAATTCAAAATGACCTTAATAAGTTGGAAACTTGTTGGTTTCCAACAAGATGAAATTCAGTAAAGACATACAAAGTACTACACTTAGGATGGAAAAATAAAATGCACAATTACAAAATGGGGGATAACTGGTTAGACAGAAAAAGATTTGAGGTGTTAGTGGATCATAAATTAAATGAGCCAAAAATGTGATGCAGTTGCGAAAAAAGAAAATATTCTGGAGTTTATTAACAGGAGCATCAAATGTAAGACATGGGAGGTGGTTGTTCCACTCCACCTGACAATGGTAAGGCCTCACCTGGAGTATTGTGTCCAATTTTGGGTGCCCTACTAAGAAAGATTTTCCATATCTTTCTATCTGTAAGGCTAGTCAAGTACTGGGAAAGGTTTTCAAGGGAGGCTGAGGAATTCCCATCACTGGAGGATTTTAAGAATACACAAACCCTGTCAGGGATGGTCTGGACTTGATGACCTCTCAAGGTTCCTTCCGGTCCTACATTTCTGATTCATTCCATTAATGTACATTTATCATAGAAGTAATGGACCAGAATTGCTCTGTAATCAAAGCAGTCACCTAGAGACAAGTGCAGTATTCCTATACCTCCATGCAGAATTTAACTCATGCTGTAGTGGTTGTAGTTTGGAGAAAATAATATTGAAGAAAATTATACTGTTTGAGGCAAGTTAAGTTTAGCTCAAAAATACTAAAGGCAGCAATAGTAAAAGCCTATTTGAAATATCTTAAGTAAGGCTGATCCTTCTTTAGTTTTTAAACATTAGCAATTCATAATGTTGTATTTTGTGAAATCTACTTTGGTTAAACTGCTTTGTTCTGCCTGGGTGTCATGGCTATTTATAACTTTTTGCCATTTCAGTGTAAATGCTGAACTGATATAACATTACAAGGCAATCTTCATGAAGTGTTTACAAGTCAATTAGAAAACAAAACCATTTTTGTATATGTCTTATTTACTGGTTTACAGGCTATTTGATTTTCATGTTGGCAATATTTTTGTCTGTTATTGTGTTTACAGTGGCACATATAGCCACTACCAACTTCTTAAAACTGTACAAGTTTAAGGTAGCTGATGTAAATGAAAAACATTAAATACTTCTTGCTAAGATAGAAAGTCAGTGATAGTTCTTTGTAGATCAAAAACCTAAATTATGAACATTTTTTATTTATGAAATTGGTAGGTGATTACTACTTGAAATCTAAGACTTGGTCAATCTTGTTAGGAGAAAGGTTAAAGCAGTGAACAATTTAGGTCAATCTCTAAAAAGGCCTATTGATCACTATTTTAGAATTCAATCCACCAATCATGCACTGAAGTGAGGAAGCAGAAGAACACTCATCTACAGCTAAATCAAAATATGCCATTGTCATTACACAATTAGCTCCATAAAGGATAGTGATAGACGTGATTTGGTGAGGAAGAGTTTTGTCTTGTAGGGGGTAGAGGTGTCAATATTGTAAATTCATCACCAGCAATTATAATACATTCATATTAGTGCTATACAAGTATAATTTTTGCCCTTAATTACTCCATCTGGAACTAAATATATCAAAATGGAATACATTGGAAGGATTGTGGGCCTGACTGCAAGTGAAATTCCATTGGCAAATACGGGATTTGTATGGAGTTGCAGCAATTGAATGTACATGGTCTGCGTAACTGGACTCTGTGTATGTCCAGTGAATAGGTGGAGTGTACTTTTACTCTTTCTATGTAATGTCTTTCAATGGGTGTTTGTGAATATAGCTTGAACAGTATTTTCAAAATAAATTGTTAAAATTCAAAATTCAGCTGAAAGAACAGGAGTACTTGTGGCACCTTAGAGACTAACAAATTTATTAGAGCATAAGCTTTCGTGGACTACAGCCCACTTCTTCGGATGCAACTGAAGAGTTCTCAAGTGAAGGTTTTAAACGCTATTATGTAGAAGAGTTTCAGAGTAGCAGCCGTGTTAGTCTGTATCCGCAAAAAGAAGAACAGGAGGACTTGTGGCACCTTAGAGACTAACAAATTTATTAGAGCATAAGCTTTCGTGGACTACAGCCCACTTCTTCGGATGCAACTGAAGAGTTCTCAAGTGAAGGTTTTAAACGCTATTATGTAGAAGAGTTTCAGAGTAGCAGCCGTGTTAGTCTGTATCCGCAAAAAGAAGAACAGGAGGACTTGTGGCACCTTAGAGACTAACAAATTTATTAGAGCATAAGCTTTCGTGGACTACAGCCCACTTCTTCGGATGCAACTGAAGAGTTCTCAAGTGAAGGTTTTAAACGCTATTATGTAGAAGAGTTTCAGAGTAGCAGCCGTGTTAGTCTGTATCCGCAAAAAGAAGAACAGGAGGACTTGTGGCACCTTAGAGACTAACAAATTTATTAGAGCATAAGCTTTCGT